AAAAAATTAATGGAAAGAAAACAATATTTAACAACAAGAAACAGATATGTCAAATATCACAATTTTCCGCAAATACTGGAAATTTAGACATTTCTGCAAAAGAAACTCCTATTAAGCAAAACAAAAAATACTATAATACTTAAAAGGCAGAAAAATAAGAAAATAAAACAGTAAACCAAAAAAAATCCAAACAAAAACACAAAACAAATATAAATTAAAAAACAACCAAGAAGATAAACAAAACATCAAATGCTCTTTCCTAGCTATTTTATTACATTCACAAAAAAAACCACCGGTAACCTAAAAAATAATGAATAACATGAAATGGTTTGATAGCTGAATTCATTCATGAAATTTTGTTTTTCCAAAAGATTGTTATAAAACTGATTCTAAAATGCAGTTCTTCGTAACAAACTCTATGATCAGATGACATGTATCATGCAAAATAAACAATCATCCCGCCCTAATTAATCAGAAAATCTTGACAATTTGAATAATCACATAGATTCTTCCAATACAATTCATTAACGAAATGTACAACGATGTTGTTGACTATTCATTGCATAACTTAAAACGAATTCACGTTAAGATTCTCTAAAAACGTGAAAGGTAATAATCTATCATAATAAAATCGATGCAAATTTACATCTACATAATAAATACATCTGTAAACTATATCATATTTCAGTCTTCTTGGATAATTTCCACTGATAAAGTGTTCCATCACTGCTACCATCACTAATCAGTAATTCTCCAACGAAGGTAACATTTCGTGCAGAGACACTATAACCATATGCTTCCTTATATGAAGCCTAAAAATAAATTTTTAGTACAAGCTTTCTTTCTTATTTAAAATCGATGAAAAAATAAAAGAAAGGAAATTCACTGAAAATGATGGAACTAAGAATATCTAAAAATTTTTAATGGTCATTATTAGCTTTGGAGAAGCATTCAAATCTGGTCCTTTTTATTTTCAAACTTTTATCCAGAAAAAAATCCATTTCAGGAAACTTCTTGGATAATTTCCACTTTTATCAACAGTGGATATTTTGGAATATGGAACCATATTTTAGCAGCAAGCATTAAATCAAAATATGAAAAAATCTTGCAAAGATAAATTTTTCAAATTAGTTTGGAACTTTTTTTTTAAAAAAAAAAGTTTTTAGAAACTAAAAATTACCAGAATCGTTGTTGTTGGATACTGATAGAAGCGGAGCATACCATTTGATAAGGCTACTGCGACATACCGTTTATCCGGACTACGATCAATAGCAGCAACAGATTTCATTAAAGCATATAAAATGCAAGCATTTTCAAATGAAACTGGGCATCTGGCTGAAGCCCATTCCACATTGCTGGCCTCCTGTATACTGGCCGGTCGACCAGTGCTTGAATTCCCTGAAAAAAACAACATACATAGAAATAATTTTCTTGTTTTTAGCAATTTAAAAATTTAGAATGGTTCCAAGGCATAAAATGCTGAATTGTGATAAATTGAAATTTTTGAGCATAAAGGTTAGAAAAATGAAACACTGTTGCTATAATACCGGTGGATAGATAAATAACACATCTTACAGATATAGTGTTGGAGATCATCATCATTAGCTCGCAGCAACGTACCATCTGTTGACCAGTCCATCGCTTTTATCGAAGCATTCATTTCCTAAAGTTAGTGCAAATTTGAATTTTTGAATTTTCAATCGTTGAATTTCAAGATTTTTTTTGCCCAGTTTATTAGAGCGTTTTGATACTTGAAAAGAAATTCCGAAGTTTCGTAGTTATAATTACAACTTACTGTAATCTGCGATACTTTAACATAGTGACGAAAATCACCCGATATAGCGTAAATTGACAACTTCTTTCCCTATAAAAAAATTAAACATTTAATTTTAAAAATGAATAAATACATGATGGCCTATAAATCCATCATTACAACGAGAATAAATGATAACATATTGCCAGGTAATACACCAAAAAAAGAGTATACAAAAATAGTCAATTGGAAAAAAGTTGTATACAAAAATAGTTAATTGGAAAGGAAAACTTTGGAAATTTCAACGCTTGCTTTCATTGTCTCAATCTTCCTATAGGATTAAGATAACGAAAGCAACGCAACTTTAATTCTGAATCCCACTACATCGAAATAAATTTTGAGAAAATTTCCATTCAAATTTACTTACTTTGGTTGCAACAGCCAAAAAATTGCCAGTTGTTGAAAATCGCATGGTTGTAATAGCATTGTTTATTTCCTCTTCAAAGGCATAAAGTTGCGTTCGGTGAGTGTAAATATACACGGCCCACGTTCCGCTAGCAAAACCAATGGCAAAAGTATCACCTTCTGGGTGAAAATCAGCGCAACATATTTTATCCTGTGATTTTACAAAAGCTTCAGAAGAGTTCATGCTCAGTAATAATTTTGACTTTTCTGTAATAATAATTTAACTCAAAATCGAAAATAATCATTCTTTCAACAAGGAAAAAACATGATAATATTAATGTTTAAACAATTTTATTAGAAAAGAGAAATAAAAACAAACCTTAACATGCAGACTCCAAAGAACCGTTTTCGTTTCTGTATCGTACAATCGTAACTTTTTATCAGTTGAGGAACAGAGGAACTGTGATTTTGTTGGATGCGAGGTAATCTGTGTTATAGCATCGGCATGTGCCTACATACTTTTCAGTACCAGTATCAATATTTTAATTCAGGAAGTTTAAATTTTTCAAAAAAGTCCAAAAAATATTTAAACTGTTTTTTTTATCTGGAAAAAAGAAAAAATTCAATTCGTCTACTTGATGAATGCCGTGAATACTATCGAAAATTGCGGAAACAAAAGTTCATTTCTTGTCCCTGGAGGAAAAATAAAAAACAAACCTCCTGAATTTGTTGAAAACCATTATCCAAGGTACCACTCCAAATTGTATTCCATGTTGTACCAATGAATAAACGAGAACTTGAAGTTGATGCTATAGTACGTATACAACCATTTCCTTCATCCGGAAACTGAAATTGAAGAATAAGAGTGCAACTTGATAATCAAACAGGTCATTCTCAGATTCAAATGATGGAAAGTTTATTTAACTTTTAAAAAACAAAGTTAAATTACTGGGAGAAATATAT